GTTACGTTTAACGAGCGACGATCACTGATGCGAAACGTCCTTGCGAACGAGTGGCACGTACGTGGTAAAATAGAACTTTGAACCGAGCAGAAAAACATAAATCGTCATTGGACTACTCACATTGCACGAATAAAACAGAAGTAACAATTTCACTGAAACAACGGGTGTCCAATTCCACATTGTACCTTACAAATTTTCCATGTTAAAAATAATATCGATAAGGATCGGAATCTCCTCAAATGCAACTGTCGAAATCCCCCAAAATTACATATAGTTGCGTTTGTAATATACAACACAGTTGTAGATATCTGTCGGTGATTTTTATAACGTTGTTACATTGTAACAAGTATGTCAAGATTTTTTAATTGTTTTCTGAACTGCTATACTTTTGAACATTTATATCGGTATTTGTGATCGATTTATTATCAATCATGACATTTTCGAGAATTATCGTGAGACATTTATTTATGAAAACCGTTTTTTAAGCTCATGAAAGATGTTTTCTTTTGTTGCATTGTCATCTCAGTATCGACAATAATTGAGAAACAACGCCATAATGTTGAAAATCGTGAACTAATCTAATCAAATTTTTTTATCTGTAATAGCGATAATCATTCTTTGTGTTTCCTTGTTGTCAATTTTTACCTCACGGAATTAACAATATCATTGTTACCACTTTATATTTTTTATGTTAAACGTTTTTGTAATGTATATAAATATATTTTATACGTATAATGTGTGTATATTATATTCTGCGTAATAATTAATAATTGTAATGTATGAAATATTGTCACATCAATGGATAATCTAAAGCTTATTAGAATAATGAAACGTTTATCATATCATCAACATTTATTTCTACAGAAAAATTATTTCTCGCACTATAAATGTTAAGATAATCGATAAATCGTACTCTTCGTGTATTTATTCTTCGCAGAATTTAATTTAATTGGTCGAATTTTCGAGCAGTTCCGACTTTGGCTTCAATCGGACCTCGTTTTCTTTTCTGTTTCGCCTGAGTCCGGTAAAAAGGCGCTGCGTTCGGTGATTTTTTTTCACGCCCATCGGAAATTAGCTTAAAAAAAGAAAGAGGAAATTGAAAGTTTAAACAAGAGCAACGGGGGAGGTTATTTTCGCAGGTTAATCGTTTGAAATACAAATTTGCATAGATAAACAGCGCGAAGGGCGGCATATTTCCTCCATCCATCTGCGAGTTTCGGGTGTTTCGCGTCAGACAGTTTATGGTCGACCAAGTTTCGCTCATCCCATCCATTGCTCATGTTTATGATATTTTCGCTAGTTTGCTTTTGTTATAGTGACTCTTAGAGCTTCCCTTTCTCCTCTCTCTCTCTCTCTCTCCTTCACCTTTACCAGCTTTCTCGTTACATCACGCCTCCAGAGAGAGGAGCATGAAAGAGGAAATCGATTTGGAAAATTATATAAGACCTTTGAACACCTTAAATGTTACAATACACGACGAGAGCCGCGTTAGATTCCCTGATAACATTAACTTCGCGAGGAGAGAAAGATACACCTAAGTTCTTCGCGAAAAATAAGGAAGCATAATTCTACTATAAGTTTTTTTGTATCGCAGACTTCGTCGCAAGAAATGACCACTCGATTTTATTGCCGCTGGTAAACCGAGATTTAATACAACTCAGCTTAGGACGAACTTTAAAGCTGCTTTTCGCACTCGATATATTTAACGACATATATATCCGGTCTAATTAGAACGGAAGCGGAAAACGGGTAGCGTAAAAAAAGAAATAATGAGAAAGGGAGAAAGAGAGAAAGGGAAAAGGTAAATGAAAGAAAAGGGAGAATAAACGTAAGATACACGTGGCGCTGGTTAGAGAGGAGATTATGCGGGATAGGACGAAGGACCGCGGCAAGTTTTAATAACTGGCGGGCGGAGAGTTAGTGGATGATAAGTTAAAATCTAAAATTCATTAAATTGAACCGCCAGAGGAGGAGTGTCGCGCGCAAATTTGTAAAGTACGATACTGCGTGCCCTATAAAGAAGGCACGGCTCGCTCTACGGGGCTGTGGCCGCGGCGGCCGTCCAGCGCGAGTGACGGTATTAACTTTTTAATTGCTTTGTTGCACCCATGGCGCCCGGGCGCGATTATGAATTTTTAATCTATCCTTGAATCTCGGCTTTCCTTACGACGCCTGCAGCGGGTCGACGCGGTGATTATCCGAAAGAGTCGTAAACACAAAGTTGTCACTCCGCGCTCTTAAATCAAAACGACGGCGACAGCAGCCGCAGCCGCGCCACGATAATGTAACCACGGGGTTGGGGGAAAAGGAGACACGCTCTCTCTTCTTTCTCTCTCTTTCTCTCTTTTTTTCCTCCTCCCTTTCTCTCTCTCTCTCTCTCTCTCTTCTTCTCTCTTTCGATAGCGAGCGAGATCACTCGCGTACATCCTCCGACGTTTCGGGTATATTTGTACGCGGCTGAGAGACGCGCGCGTGAGGAATAAATCAATACACATCGCGTACGGAGGCGCGGCCGCTTAAAGCGCCGATATAGAAAGTTTCATGGAATTTAAATCAAGATTGACGAAGTTTCGAAATTAATTCGTATCGAGCTTTGAGTCGTCTCTCGTCGTCGAACGCGACACGATTCCTTCACAGTGTTGCTGAACTTGTGTAATAACCTTCCGTTCCTTCGCACGAAGTCGCCTCACCACCACGATGTGCCTGATAAATATTAAATTCGAGTTCTTCCTCGACTAGAATAACGATTTCCATAGAGCGTCTTATCTTTGCGAGGAATTTAAACCACTACACGCACGCACATAAACATTGAGCTCCCGGCCGTATTATTAAGCGCACTTTAATTTTTTAATAGAACACAGGTTGGGAGGAGAAGGAAGGCTACTAATTTTATCTCTACTCGATTAGAATCATTTTCGGTGTTGATCTTTTACTTCTGCAACCTTCTGAAGTGTCAAATCACTTGTTTCACTCATAATTTATGTAAACAATATTAATATTTTTCACACGAAAATTTATTCTTCTAGTTAGTAAACAAGGAATTTGAAGTTTCAAGTCATAAATGAACAAAAATAAAACTAAATTTCAATTGACACACACTGTGAAAAGTCACGTCTGTTCTCGTTATTATCAATAATGCAACTAGCGCGGGTCCATATTTGTTCAAGATTATTGTAATAGCCAAATGAAGTGACATAATGAAAAATACTTTTTATAAAATAGCAGTTCCTCAACATAATTCGATCGATAGATGAACCGTACTATAAAGCTGGTCCTTGGAAATCAATGAAATGTAAAAAATTAAGGTGCGTCTAATAATATGGACAGGGACTGTATATGTGCTCGTGTGTAATGGTTTTCTATACCGAAAAAGGAATGTTTGGTATTTATATAAATACCATAATCTATAAATATCATAATACTATAATCACATAAGTGAAAGAATTGTAGTTAGGAGGACTATGTTTTAAAAATGCGTTACTATAAATAAAGAAGCAATTCGACGTATAATAATAATATATGTTAAATATATGTGAAAGAAAGTACTATTGCACATCGATGGAATTGATTAAGCGTCACAATTGAAGTAAATCTTCTTGATTCAATAGCAATATTATTGTGACCAATATTTCAGTTGTTAAAACAATGTATGATATATTAATTTAAACTATGTTGCTATTGAATTAAGAAGATTTATTCCAATTATGACGTTATTGACCAATTCTATTGATACAACAGCGCACTGAGAAGCGAATTTTTAATATTTGTACACATAAAAAAAGTACTAGATTCAGGTAAATAATTACTCCAATATTGCTCAGCAAATTTTTACTTGAATTATATAAATATTATTTGAATTTAGCACTTTTTTCTATATTTAAGTAATATTTACTTGATCTTAATAAAAATTTGCTAAAGAGTATTAGAGTAATTATTTACTTGAATCTCTAGCACTTTTTTCTGTGTAACTATAATCGCATAAATGAAAAAAATTATAGTAAGGGAGAATTATTTTTCTAATAAGAATGTTACTGTAGTGTAAGTGATAATAATTTTATATTGCTACAGAACGACTTCTTTCTAATTCTTCTTATTTCTTCCGGTTATAAGCTCTTTCCTTTCCACATATATTTTCACTAACACTACTTAAAGTCTCTCTTACATTAATGCTCAATGGACAGTCGAGTAATTGAACATGTAGCTCGCTACAGTTGATCGTACGAGTATCTATGTTCGATGTTTTACTGACGCACCGCATTAAGTTAGTGAACTAGTAAAATAAAATATTTCATACATAACAACAGGATAAAGTTTGCGATTTTTTTTTGCTCCTAAAAAAATGAATTATATTATTATCCATTTTTTAATATTCTTTCGCTTTTTAATTTTTCTATTATAAAGCGATCATAGCGCAAAGCGGTTTATAGCAACGTTGTGTCTTTAATATGAATATTACGAGAATAACGATAAATATTAAAACGTCAGCTATAATCGACATTTGGCTTGATAACTAGCGTTAATTAGTCTCATGCGCCTATTCCCGGGCTATGTTATGCACGAGAGACAAATAGGTTAGGTGTTATCAAATTGCTTTTGATCAAAATTATGCATGCACATCTTCTTGCGTTTGTGCATGCAGCAGGCGGATAATTAGACAACTACTCTATCGTAGAGGATTATAAATTTTTATACTCCTGCAGCTTCGAAAATCGGACTTGAAACCGGAGTGTTACTGTATTACCATTTTTTGATTTACAACCAGAAGAAGAGTTGCCAAAGATAACTATAATTTTAATGGGATTTCTCTCAATGTAGGTGTAACAACTTGCATGGATTTTCTCGAAGAGGAAACTATGTGGAAATTATCACTGTTGCAATCTGTTGAAATAAGCGATGTTGTAATCAACACCTGCAATTATAGCCCTCCTATTGTAGCTGCTATATCTACGCGACGAGCACGATGCTAAAACACGCGTCTTGTTGTTTTTTTTCTGTTTCAGTGGACCTTATACAAATGCTGGAGTTCAACCTGACCGTGTCATTGCCAGCGGCTTCCCTGTTGACAGTAATTTTGGCACTAGTGGGTAAGTCTTTTATAGTCCATTTCTCAGAGATCTACACGCACGCGCGCACGCACGCACGCACGCACGCACGCACGCACGCACGCACGCACGCACGCACGCACGCACGCACGCACGCACGCACGCACGCACGCACGCACGCACGCACGCACGCACGCACGCACGCACGCACGCACGCACGCACGCACGCACGCACGCACGCACGCACGCACGCACGCACGCACGCACGCACGCACGCACGCACGCACGCACGCACGCACGCACGCACGCACGCACGCACGCACGCACGCACGCACGCACGCACGCACGCACGCACGCACGCACGCACGCACGCACGCACGCACGCACGCACGCACGCACGCACGCACGCACGCACGCACGCACGCACGCACGCACGCACGCACGCACGCACGCACGCACGCACGCACGCACGCACGCACGCACGCACGCACGCACGCACGCACGCACGCACGCACGCACGCACGCACGCACGCACGCACGCACGCACGCACGCACGCACGCACGCACGCACGCACGCACGCACGCACGCACGCACGCACGCACGCACGCACGCACGCACGCACGCACGCACGCACGCACGCACGCACGCACGCACGCACGCACGCACGCACGCACGCACGCACGCACGCACGCACGCACGCACGCACGCACGCACGCACGCACGCACATTCGGCGGGGAATATTTCCGTGACATTCTAATTACTTTATCACTCTTTCTCTCACCGTGTTTTTCCTCGTAAATGGGGTAATCTCGTTTGTTTTAAGGAAGAATCGAGGATGTTGGAAAAATTAGCTTTATATTGCGCGTGTAACGTTCTCTTCTTGCGTTCCCCCTCTCGTTTAATGAAAATAAATCGTAGAGAACGCGACCTTCGCGCGGAAATCAAGTTTACCTAACGTCCAAATAGCCGTGCGTGTGTGGCTTTCGCCGTTCTCTCATCCTTCGGCGTCTCTTAAACACTCATGCGTGTTACAGTCGTCGTTCCTACATCGAAAGCCGCTCGGAAATAGCTCGACAGGAAAAATGACTCATCCGCTTTGGTTACGGTTGATCAATCGATGACGAATCTTTTTCTCTCTCTCTCTTCCTCTCTCTCTTTCTCTTTCTATCTTGCTCTCGAGCAGCAAGCACGAAACTATGTCGGAGCTTGTTCGCGACGTAAGCCGTGCACGTGTGAAATATTAAATACCTTTTTACTAAATCAGGCTTGCCTTCGCTCTCGTTCTCTCGTCGGTACGACGTTAGCTCAGTTACAAAGCTGATTGGCCGGGACGGTTAACCCGAGATTCTGCATAAATTTCTGATGAAGGCGCAACAGTTGGGTAACCCGCTCCGGAGTCCATTTAGCAGCAGCAGTGGCGGCGGCTGCCGCGCGCGCGACGCCCATTTCCATTTCGACCCGAATCTCCTCTTCACGCTTCGCGTGTCCGCTGCCACCAATGCAGGTCCAATTGACCTGCCTAAAGTACATCACTAATTCCCTCCTCCATCCGACGGCTCCGAAAACATCGATAAAAGTGGATTCGCGATCTTCGTTCCTGCCGGTTGTTGCTTTTGCGCGCTTATATGTAGAACGCTCTGTGACCGAAAGCGGTGCCTCTTTTAGTCGGTAACGAGTTTTAGGCGACCGACGCGCGATCATGAACACGGATACTCTCGGTACGCACACGGAAAAAACAACTTCGTTAATGTAACTGAATTTCCCGTCACCAGACGAAAACTCAGTTGGGACAGAGAGTTGTAGAGGAAAGTGAGATACGATGATGATTGCGTAAGATGATGATTTATTCATTTTTTTAAGCTAATATCAAATGACGAATCGGCATCTAACTTATTAGAGGCTTTTAATCCCTGTATAAACATAATAATAAATAATCAGTTGTAGTGTAACTTCGATTTGTCAACGAAAGAAGATAATATAATGACAAATGTATTTATATTGGTGTATTTTAGTATATTTTGGGTGTATTTTGGATACACTCGTGTGTAACTTCGTGATATTTCTTCATAAAGAATTAAGTATAATTACGGTAAATATTTTCACTTTCTCTGAAACTACTGTATAACGTGTACTGAAAACGCATATAATAATATATTATTATTTTTCTCGTACTGCACTATTTTTTTTTAATTGAATGAGTAGATACAGTGATTACTGTAAGGAGTAAGATGATGTATCATATGTGAATATTATATGTGGATAATATGATGCGCATACACACACACATTTGTATTTTATTTTATTTCGTATTTTATTATTCGTATTTTATTTAAAAAATTATATAATTATACCGATTATTATATAATTATAACCGATATTCTCATATACGCGAGCAAGAATAGATAATCTCATAAGATAAATATATATAATAAAGATATATAATATGTGTAAAGGTAAAATGTGTTCTTACCTGAAGAAATTCTATATAATTTCACTACATCATATTCTTGTTATTCAAGAATTTTTATAAGTAGGAAGGAAAAAGTATTTGATAGAACGATATCTTCCAACTAACACAATTCTTATATTTGATGATATCGTTCTTTCTATTCAGTATTTTTTTCCTCCCAATTCATGGAGATTATTCGTGAATAACAAAAATATGATATTTTTAGTGGAATTATATAAGATTTCTTTATGTATATAGAAGCAAATTTTATTCTTCGTATAAGACCAAGTTTTACTCTTGATTATATATAAGTATATGAGTCTTGAATTGATATTAATTTTTTTCTGCATGACTAATCCCGAATGCGTCCCGAAGAGCTATTTCGGGAATAGGTCGGCGGAAATTTGGATGGCGTGAGACGATGACTGTGTATTCGTGAGTCGCTCGACTCGTGATCGACGAAGCGGTATGTTTTTCTTTCTCGTTTGATATGAAAGGAGCGTCGTTAGTTGCGGATTAATGGCTGCTGGGTGGGTAGATATCGAGGTCGCGACTGTATCCAGCAGATTTCGATCAAGATAGCCAGTGCTCCGCTCGTTTATACGTATACCACCAGTTGCGCGGCAGGCGGCCGCCGAGGAAAATGGCAACAGAAGTGGTAAATTTCCGGGTTCCGCACTCTCCCCTGCCGTACCCGAGTTCGCTCAAGGATTGCCAAGGATCGCCAAGGATCGTATGTACAAAAATCGAAACGTATATACGCACGTATATACATACGTACGTGTATATATCGAGTGGATGTAGTCGAGGGTAGGAAAAGGAAGCCTTAGGGAAGTTGTTATCTGGAGTAATAGGTTCCGGTTCCTGTGTCGCTTCCTGCTCTCCATCCGTCATCCCGCGGCTCTCCCGGTCTCCCCCGAACCCCTCTCGCCGTCCCTCGTTCCCGCGCCGCATGTTACCTCCGGTCAAAGAGGATATATCCTCTCTTGTTTCTTCCTCTTTATCCCGGCTTTTCAATTTTTCCAGATTTCTCTGCGATAATAAGCATAAAAGGCGAGGCGCGTATTCGACGGATAGTCGGAGTCACATCCGGAATGCTTTAAGATATTCCTCGGATGTTCTTTCACGCGAGAAATGACGTTCATACAAGCTGACGAGCGAGCGATTCTCCCGTGTCGATGTTTTGTTTCGCCTGTCCGAAAATTTACACCTGCCTGAGTCGAAATATTGATGCTGGTTTGACGTTTATTAAGATCATTTGCGCCGTTTTGGGGTGAAATGTAGATTAATAAAAGCCTACTTTTACGATACTGACACTTATTAATTTCTCTCTTGAACTTTTAATTATCCAGATTTCATTTCAATGCTATCTTCACCAATCTGTTCTGACGCTGAAACAGCGAAGACGGAAATTTAACCCTTTGCACTCCGCTGTCGCCGTAGCGGCGACATGGTTGTTTTGCTGCCTCGGCACTTTAAGAAATTTTAAGTCCTAAAATTTATGTTTTTCTTTTATAATATAAGTTAGAATATGTTTTGTTATAAAATAGCTAAGAAATAAAAATTTTGTTTTATTGAAACGACTCTATTTTTCTTCTACATCATAGGTATGTACTTGGAACTAATAGCCTCTATGCATTACTAAGCTGGAGTGCAAAGGGTTAAGACATCACCAGGCTCAAAGTAGGAGTAAATGATATTAATAGAATTGAAATTGAACTTATTTTACCTCAGCTTTTACCATATGTTGTAGAATTAAAAGTTTATCGCAGGGTCGAAATTTCGACTCAGGTGTTCTTTTCAGCTGGCTTCGTACCTTTGTTCCTAGGTTGCGGAGAATGAGGCGATAATTATTAGCATATGGAAAAAAATAACTGCTGTCGAATCAATAGAATTTCTAACGGCGCGCACAATTGGAGTAAATCTTCTTGATTCGATAACAATAGTTTAAATAATTTCAATAAGTTTCAATAATATCGCTGTTAAATCAAGGAAATCCATTCCAATTACACCCGCTGTTGGAAATTCCATTGATTCAACAGCATTTTTTCCGTGCATCTTGTACATCTTCAAAAAAAAAAAGAGAAATATTTTACTAACGACTGAAAATATGAAACAAAAGTTTACATTTACATGTCATCCATTACAGGGACCATTAATATCAATGCGATTTCCATTGGATACATTTTTCCTCCGTTCTCATATTTCGAAATTATGTAAGCGGGTAATAATTATTGGCCGGTATTCGCAGTCGGATCTTATATTTGAGATATTTAAAGAAGTAAAAAGTTTTCAAAAAGATTTTAAGATCGATTTAAATTCATCCTTATACTTGTCAGGTAATATATTGTCCGTTTCGTTGGCTACGGTTATCTGGAAATCAACTGAAAACAATCTCAAATATAAAACCACCTATTCTACCTGTGCTAAAAATACGTGCAATTTTCCTAGACATCCATCTAATTAATTTCTAGTCAAAAAATGCTCGAAATTTCACACCAGGGTATGAATATCAGCCATTCACCCTGTATATATTGTTTCGCTCCAACGACAAAATATGCAGCCTGGTTCAGGCAGAAAGGACAGACCTT